GTACGAAAAAGTACTAGTAGATTAGAGTCTTAAGAAAGAACTTAGGGCGAACCTTACAATAGTTCTAGGCATTCCGAGAGGAGAACTCGACCGGTGGCAAGCGATCGAGCAAGAACTCGAAACGTGACGCGCCTACATCGAAGGATTACGCGAAGTAAAACTCATGGCCAAGTTCAGGGCCAACGAGATCGGATCTGCCATTAAAATTACAAAACGAGATTCCACGTGCGTTCTCTCTCCGTTTACACTTCTTTTTTTCTTTCTTTTTCGACTTTCACTATGTTCTTATTGATCGATGTCAAAAGTTCTCGTCTACAGTTTTCAATCGTCGTTAACTCGATCTAAGCAAATAACCGGAAATATCTTTTGATCTACTATTTACCATTATCGATGAAGTAAAATAAAATTGTCTACTCACGAAGATTTCTATTTTCAGAGCGAAAGACGATACTATCCTATATTAATATTCCTCGTAATGGTTAGAAAGTCATGTTTTATCGTGTGTAAATGTATAAGAAAGATATTACTGTTACGTGAAATCTAACATCAAAAATTTATGATTATTTAAAGTATTTTTGTCATTGATTTCTGATCGCGGAAATATTTTTTTTCTGAATTTATTTACACAACATAATTACGATGCTAGATAAATTCTATTCTGAAACTTTCTCTTTCTCTCTCTCTCTCTCTCTCTCTCTCTCTCTCTCTCTCTCTCTCTCTCTCTTTCTATCTATCTAGCTATCTATCTAATGCATACATAATATATGATATAGTAAATTATATGAATTTCTAAGATATAAAAACGTTAAAAATGTTTTACTTATGATAAAAAAGAACATCAAACATCCATTTCAATTTGAATTATTGTAATGAAAATTGTTACATAAACTCTTACAATTATTTAAAGCTTGCCGTTAAGATCGCAAACGCAGTAAGTCCAAACCCGTCGTAGAACCTACTACATGCAGGTCTGCAGGGAGGAAAAGACATCGGTGGCCAAGTTCAGGGTTAACAAGATCCGATCCTGTCCTGACTCTTTGCTTGCTCGAAGGCAGCCTCTGTATAAGGCCCACCTTTTCTCTTCGCGCAAGAGAGGACTCGACGTAAAACCTCGGTGTTACTTCGACCACAAACTCCCTCTTTTGACTACTCTTTTCTCTTTTATTTTCACGTGTTCAGAGTTGCCCGCCATTCACTCGTTTTTTTTGTTTCGATCCTTCTGTCTCTTTCTCTCTTTCTTTGCCCATTACAGTCTCATCTCCTTATCTTCTTCTTCTTCTTCGTCTTCTTATACTTCTTCTTCTTTTTCTTATTCTTATACTTCTTCTTCTTTTTCTTCTTCTTATACTTCTTCTTCTTCTTCTTATACTTCTTCTTCTTTTTTTTATTCTTATACTTCTTCTTCTTCTTCTTATATTTCTCCTTCTTCTTCCTTTTCTTCTTATATTTCTCCTTCTTCTTCTTCTTCTTCTTCCTCTTCTTCTTCTTCTTATATTTCTTCTTTTTCTTCTTTCTCTCTTTTCAGTGCCTTTTAACGCAGATACCGTATCGTTTCTCTCTTCAAATGACATACGTTCGAGTACACTCCTTTAAGTCGATTTCATTAAAACCAATCATCCGAGTCAATTTTACATAAATCAATATGTTTATATAATAATATATTTGATAATGTTTTTTAAATAAAATTTAGGATATTTCCATGTTGTATCTTTTAGATTAAATTTTACTCATTATATAATTTATGGTTACAGTGTAATAAACATCAACAAATGAATTTTATGAATATTTCAAGTTTACAAAAGAAATGTTTATTATTTGTTATTTGTTATTTATTTACGAAGAGAAATCTATTCCCTTTCGAACGTTGTTTTCTCTTAACAGTATCGATAAAGAGGACTGTACCTTGACGCAAAGAGCCGTTTAACTGTCTCTCGACCGTTACTAATTTTAACTCTTTCCAGTACCACCAGCGAATACACATCTACGTGTGTACTTTTCTGCAGTTCGAATCTCGAGGAAAGATTTTTGAACGAGGAAGCGTGAAATGACTCTTGAGCAAAAGAATACGTAATTTCCATTTTGTCTTAAAGATATGTTTAACGATAAAACGGGTTTCAATTCAAACTGGTAAGGACAAATTTATTTTCCATCTATATTTTTCATGAATTATAGGATTCGCGAATGTTTTACGATAGCTAATATTTTTCATTAATTATATTCGTATAAAATAAATAATTAATTTGTAAACGTCATTATATTTACTATTACAAAATTTTATATTTATATCGATTTTAATATATCATTGTATGTTTTAACATAGTTTTATTAAATTTATTAATCTAAACGTTCTAACATCGAAGCATTATAATCGAACATTGAAATATCAAAAAAAAAAAAAAAAAAAAAAAGAAAAAGAAAAAAATTATATTTCAGAATTAAAAATCTAAAATATATCTAGAATTAACATTAGGAAATAATCCATTACGAAAAAAGTAATGTTATAACATTAATTTAAAAATAGCACTCCTATCAGGTATCATTAGTGATTATATACCAACAAATCGATAAGAATTTCATAGCTTCTACCGACGATCGCTCGATTTCTCGTAGCTTCTTTCATTTTATGGTTCATTTTTTGCTATGATCATGAACTTTTTGTTCCGTATGACCTTAATTCAGCGAGAGCTATATTATGTACATTATGTACGCATCGAACGGTTAGAACCATCTAGTAAATTCCAGGTAGGGTTCTTCAGACGCATTGGAGTTAATGTAGGGGTTCCGAGAGTCATTAGAGGCATTTTATTGTGAATAGGCGTACATAGGGTTCCCACAAAAGGTAGAAACCAGCACTTTCTGACAATGAAACCGACGCCGACGAATCCTGCCAGGAATTTGAGGGCTACTCGGTTGAGTTAGGTATATCGGAATTCCTTACGTGCAGTTAAAAACGTAACGACCAATCTTACCAATATATACCAATTATATATACCAATATATCAGGGGAACTGGAAAGCAATGTCGCTTTCTTAAATTAAATTCTAAGGAATAAATTTTTAATAATTTTTAACAATTTTTAACAATCAAATATCGACATGCGCAGAAACGACATTACTTTCCGGTCCCCATAATATATCAACTCGATTCACGTATTTATTTGACCCATTTGGTATGAAACCGAAATGATTTATTTAGAATTTTTTATTTTTATTCAATCGATTAGAACAAATATTGAATATTCAGTAAAAAATAAACTTTAATATAACTTTGCATATAACATGAGAATTAAATAAATTTATTTACTATTTGATATGATCGAAATGATTCTATGAATATTGAGTAAAAGGTAAACTTTAACTGGTATATAAATTTGTATAAATTTGTTTACTTGTATAGTAAATGTTCGTTCAATTTGATTAATTTCAAATTTATCATTCGATTAAACTCAATTATTTTTTATTTCAGACTAATATCGAAAGAAATGCGAATTAATTTACATATTTATATTTTATTAAAACTTTCTATTAAATCGGAGAAAGACATCTAAGGAACTTTTTTACGAAACATCTCTGCTGATCGATCTTTAGTTTTTTCGAAGTTTCAATATCTTCGATCCTCCTACCATTTGTTTAATTCGTGATTATTGCCATTAAAATTGTGATTCGTCATATAAGTTATATAAGTACTTATTAGAAGTATTCCAGTGAAATAATACAACGTGAGGAAGAACCGAAACTAATTAGAAGGAAATCTCATAGAAGAATCTAGGAAACGTTGTCGCCAATCCGTCTCGCTTGGTTGGTCAACGTTAAAAGCGTTTACACGCATCAAGGAAATGCGCTTTCACGTGACCAGATGTTCTAGGATTTCCTACAAAATGTCCGTTGAACTTAATAGTTAATTTATCCTTGATTCGATTAATTTCATTTCGAGAGAGATCAAATTATCGGAGATATCTTTTACGAGATAATTTGAAAATTCGAGCTATTGACTAATTTGTTATATTTCGTGGTTAAGTATCCGAACTCACCTTACATTGAAAGGTTTCACTAAATTCACCAAATGTTCGTCCTTTGGCTCACTAAATTCGCCAAATGTTCGTTCTTCGACCGGATGTTCGGCTTCGTATTTTCAACCATCCTTTTATGGGATTGAAAATAAGAAACCTTATAAAATTTAAATAGTTTAAGTCTATCACATTTTGCGATTTGTATTAAAATTTCCTTATTAAAATTTTATTTGTTTAAATTTTTTTTTGTGAATTTTTTTTTTTTTCATTCGTTAAGAAATATCCTAATAAAGTTTCTTTTTTCAAATTTGCTGTGTAGATTTTCTTTTATTAAACAGAAAAAAGAAAAAGAAGAAGAAAATCCTGAAAGATTCATTCATCATTTTACGAGTAAATTGTATCACATGTAACGACTTTGTTCGTGATATAAAAATAACTATCTTTAACTCACCGCTTGGTTATAAATACGTACTTCTAAATTCAGAGTTTAGATATGCTCTAACCCAGATCTCGAAAGTCGCATACAAATGATGCTTGTACAATAACGAGATCAACCATTCACGAGTGCTTTCTGTTAGAGGCAGTTACGTAGGCGAAGCGTAACTTCGTTGTTCGGTTGAACACTTCTAAGAATCGCATTAAACTTAACTCGTTTCTCTATTTGATTTTCGTAAATGAGGGAATTTCAAAATTTTCCTTTCCAACTAGAAAATTTTTATTTTTATTTTATATACAACTTTATAATTTGATATATAAAAACAATTTACTCTGCTTATCCATAATCCAATTTATTTCTCCTATTTAAATAAAAATTATATAATATAAAATCTATACATGATTAATATTAAGAATTAACAATTAATTTAGCAACAAAAGAATAAAATAAAATTCATAAAATACGTACATATGTAAAATTCATAGTATATTGTAGAGAATTAATTCAATCACATAGAAAAAAAAGAAAATGATTGAAATATTTTTATTCGTCGGAATTCATTCAGAGTTTCAATAAAATCTATGTTATCTTTATTGTTCCAACGACTTTATTAGATTTGATCCTACAATGTTGTTTGAAAGTGAATTCGAAAGAATGAATGTTTCGCGAACGTAAGAATATTCGAAACGCACACGTTGAACGGCTATAACATGAAGATTCGAATCCCTGAAGGTATTCACGAACCTGAATTCTTCCATTTCTCTTCTCCCTTCGTCCCACCTTCTTGGCTTCTCTCTTTCATGTCTACCCTTTTGCGATTCGCATCCTCTTACTTGCTCCGCCGTCTGCATTCTGGAATGTGGTTGTTCCACTCCATAGCGATACTACTACCGCCTACATACTTACTACGAAGCCAGTCTTACGCTACGATACCTTTGTGATGTAAGAAACGTCTAGTAAAATTTACGCGTTTCCAAAGATCGCTCATATAATCGAGAAGTGCTCTCTCGGCTTCATTTACTTCGTTATGCGTTTATCTTTTTATTTGGATTTAGTGAAATTACTTTTATTTTCCATTAACAAGACGTTATCACAGGTAGTATCATTTTTATAACCATGTTATTTTAAAAAATATACAGTCCAGGATATATAATTATTAAGACTTTTAATAGTTCTGTGTTTCTCTTCCTTTTTTTTATTTCTTTTTTCTAAAAAACAATCTAGAAAATTTTCTACTCATTACAAATTATTATATGTTACTATTTTATTCGATATATATTACTATATATATATACATATATACATATCAATTGATAAAGCATTATTAATTAAAATTAAGAGGTATTAAAAATAAAAAGGATTATTAATTCTAGTAATTAATAACTTTTATTGCTTTTTGAACATTATATTAAAAATAATGTAGTAATAATATATTAATTTGGATTTTAATAAATCTATATATTAAACTACAGATAATTAATAATTCCAACAAAAGTTTTGTATTTTCAAAAATTATATCCGAAATATACATTAAACGCTTGAAACATTTGAAACCCCATTTTTCCATCTTTCTTATATGTATTTGTATTCAAAAAGGGAGACCTTTTAAAGGCTCGTTAAAGAATGATCCGCCCTCCGAACGGTGTTGTTAACGGTGATGAACAGTGAGCGTGTAATAAAGAGCGTAACATTATCTCATTATACAAAAGAATGAGCAACGAGTGGACTAAGTATGTGTGTGTATGTGTATGTACGTGTACATGTACGATCCGAGTTCTGGCAAGACGATTTTTGATGAGTAATTACGATATTCGAGTATATACCGTTACGTTCATATCCATTTTCCATCGCTTATGGTCGCTCATTTGCAGCATAGGACCATGCATGAAAATTGGAACCGTGTCGATCGGAAGTGGAGCTTCGAATTATCGGTTGTACGAGAAACAACTTGAAAGAAATGTGGATCTGCATCGTATGTTAGTTAAATAGGTAAAGTTGGCCGATCGTGATTGAGATTGACGAACATATCAATATCTCCTTCATAGAAGTTAAGCTCTTATGATAGATTTTAATGTAAAATTATAGTTTTGATGTCAAATTTAAAAAAAAGAAAAGGGAAAAAACACACACAGACATACGTATTACAATTTTTAGGATATTTCAGTGAAAACAATGATACATAATTTTATTTTTATAATGATACATTAACTTTTTTATGAAAATAGTGTTTTGTGCGTCATAGGAGTGATTTTTAATAAAAAATTTCAACATTATCATTTCATTGTTATTTTTGAAATAGGTTTGATCCAACCTGTTCTTGTTTTTATTTATATAGGTAACAAAGAGTTCGCTTTCGATGATTTTTAAAAATTTTCAATGATCCGTAAGTGTTCCTTTTTTGCGAATCAATTCCTCGAAGTGAGAGTTGTATTTAATCCGGTATCGAAAGGAGATATTAGACGAAAGTTCGTAAAACACTCGTTTGTAAATGACACGATGTAAGTAGCTTGGAAACAAGTTTTACAATTTATTCTTTTATTTCATACTGATGTATGATCGAACAGATTTGAAACAGTAGCAATGCTTATAAAATAAAAAATATTCTTTTTGTTCAAAACTACATTTCAAATTAATTATAGAGGTTGACCATTAATTATAGCAGAAAAAAGAAATCATTATAATAGAAAAAAATATTAGAAAGCTACAAGAAGACCATTTAATATCTAAGATCGTTATAGATCGTAAAACGATTTCCATCAAGGGTCAATGCTTGCGACTGTGATGTCGTTGAATCGAAAAATTTTATTATCGATTTATAAGCGCTTAGTTATCAACTTATATAAGTTATAATTACTCGTATTATTATCTTGATTGACCTCGAACAACGAAGAACACTTTTTTTTTGTCATACGTAGTCGCTCGTACTATTCCATTCTCTGTCGTATTAATAATTGCAGAAAAAATTATAAATATAATTACGAATAGCTGTATTAGATTTTTGGAAATAAAAAAGTAAAGGTTCATTCATCGTACAAAAATTTTGTTTACAAAATTATTTCTGACAATAATAATAATAATAATCATAGAGTATTACTAATAATTATAGATAATGTGTAACAATATATGTACATATATGAACGTTTGATTACTTTCATTTGTTAAAATTTTCAACTTCATGTTTTTAGATTAGATCTTTGACTTACATTTTATGTTATTAGCAAATTATAACGTAACGGGTATTTGTTATTAGAAAAAATAAATCATTTCAATGATCGTGGCAAAGTAATATTGTTCATATTCAAGAAATATTTTCTTTCAAGTTGCAGGAAAACGATCGTAGAAGTCGTCCGTTTAGACGATATAAACAGTTCGCTTTACGCATCGTTTCGTCCGTATATAAATCTAATAAGAAGCGGAGATCGACGATCAGAGACTGTCGTCATTGATTCAAACGAACAACCGTTCAAACGTTGAATCTTGGCCGACGTCACGGAAGTAGGCTACTCCTTACGGGTCTCTTGTTAAAATCCTCCTCGATGTCATGTAAATCTGGTGGATCTGCAAATCCGCTGTCTTCGTAACGTGTACATCGAGAGCCGGGTGACCTTGGTGGATGAATCGAATGAATCTGATGAATGCTATGAACAATTTAATAAATTCAATATTTTAGTTGATGATTGTAAAAAATACACACCTAACATAAAGGTGTGTATTTTTATTATATTAATTATATATACACGCAACTACATATAGTATATATAATTAAATATAATATAAGTGTAAATAAGTAATATATATTTATGTGTACTTATATGTACACTTTTATATGTATTTATCATATATATGTAATATATATAATTATATTATAATATATATTTTCTTTTAAGTTCGATGCAACAGAAAATAAATGATAAATAAAATTTTTCTATATTTCTTACTTACATTCTATTTAAGCCATTTAAAGAACTCCAAATGAAATTCTTTAAATGGAAAATCGATCTTACTTTAATTTCAATAAAAACAATATACAATTTAAATCATTGAATAATTTACTAATTTAAAATTTCTTCGTTGAAATTATAACAGTGTAATCTCGTTGAAGTTTCTTCTCTTTAGATAGAATTAACGAGGTACAAAGAAAGATGGAAGAAAAGATAATACAAGAATTTATTTTCTGTAGAATATTTCCAATTCTGAAAGTATAGAGAACGATCTTCGTATTTTCCTGCTTAGGACGGCAAGAACACGCTCGTTCTCAAAGTTATTCTCTATCTCGTTAATATTTAACAAGGATTACCTCGTGCACCTTGAGGGACTCGCTTCCAGTGGTTCGTCGTATCTACGCGAGAGCATGGTGAAGTCGCGATGAGCTGCCACCATTTTCTGCAGTCGCGTAATGATCTCGTAATCGGGAGTGCAGATTGGCTCCGACAATAATTTCACTATGGAGACGCGGAAGCTCTGCAACTAAAATAGGATATGAACGATTTGCAAGTTGTTGTACAGATATATCTATGCATACAACTACTATAGGAACATTCACTATCACAAGTTAGATCGTCGAAAATTGCTTTACGTTGGGATGAGTTGAAATAATCAAAGATACCAAGGACCTATCGAAAATCGATTCTTCTATTCTGGCTTAGGGTTAACGTTTGCGACCTAACATTTTCATTCATTTTCAAGGGTAAGAAAAGGTCTCGATAAAAATTACAGGGGTCTAATTTGTTCGAACGATCACAGAGCATCCTTTTTTTTTGACGCTCCGTCGATTAAAGTTATTTTGAGCAACGTTGATTAATCATAAAGAAATCTATCTAGATATATTAAAATCTAAATAAATATATTTATTATATTTATATGCAAATGAATGTTCTTTATGTGAATGTAAGAGATTAAAATACTACGCTATAAAATTTTTTATTAAAAATAATTTTTTATACATATTTATAGAACCAGGAGAAAAAAAAGAAAGAAGTATTATTTTGCAAGTACCATCGAAAAGTTCCATCGAATTCGTAATTCGTTGACTAGTGACTGGCACGTGCTAGCTCGAAGAAAAGTAAGAGACGGTTTCGCGAGTCGTTTCAAAGTACCTTCGGTGAATGCGAACGTGACCCGAATGAAGATCGACAAACGACGATGTCGTATTCGTTACGAAAAAGAAGGAGACGAAGTTTTGCCTTCTCTTGAAGAGTAGCTTTATGTGACCGACGAGAGAGCGAGTAGCAATAACACGAATGGATGTCATCTGCGCGTAGTCGGTGAGATTGCTTCAATGAATTAACGAGTCCGTTTGGCCTCTGACTCGAGAAGTAATGTTACTAACTCTAGATCGTCAACGAGATTCTTGTCTTACAAAAACATCAAAAGGACAACTGTTCTTCATATATTCGATCATCTATATCAGATAAAATGATTTAAATTGATTGTTAATTATATCAATGAGAACGAATAAGATATTACATCGCGACATCACGATACGTGTTTCTATTCTCTCTTGTCTTTATTCTACTTTTTTTTATATGAAAGATCTCTTCTACTTTATGTATTTTCAGATACTACTCATACGTTAGAGCAAACGTATGCCTATGAAAAAAGATGAGTCAGAAAAATAGAGAAATAGTTTATTCTCTAGGCGTGATATATCACAAGAAAAGTGACGAATATTTTGTAAGTGCTCCGTATAGGAATTGATTTTGACAAATAAAGAGGATGCTTTTATAGTCTCGTTTTAGCTCTAATTTTACAGACGACGTGAAACGACGGAGTCAAAAGGTTCTGTATTTTAACGGACATATCGAATTCGAAAATACGGATCACCAAGCGAACCGCGTTCGAATTCTCTTATAGGGGTCGAATGCAAGTAGGTTTTGTAAAGGAATCACTATAAATCAAGATTGCATAAATTCGACTTCGCGTGCCGAATACGTAATGTCTTATTTGACAAATGTCCTGCGGTAAAAGTTTCAAAGAAATAAAAATTTGTCCAAGTATTATTTTTATACAAAATTTTATGATAAAGTTAAATTATAAAAATTATTCACATACATACATATATATATAATATATATATTCTTATAAATAAATATTTATATTATTTATATATATATATATATATATTTTATGAATAAATATTTATATTATATATATATATATATATATATATATATATTTATATATATATATATATTATAAATAAATATTAACAAGAATATATCAAAAAATTATGATCATTGATTACAATCTGTTGCGTGTACGTGATTACCTGAGATTCTCTTCTAGTAACCTCGGTGAGATTTTGCTTCACCTGCGCCAGCTCATCTCTAAGAAGCTGCAGAGAATGATCGTTGATAGATCTTTCTTGCTCAGCCGTCTCAGACGTCGTTCTCATTTGTTCTTTCAACATGGATAGCTTTCTGGTATAACGCGTTCTTAACATCTCGCTTTCTACGAGACGTTTCTGGAGTTCTTCTATCTTCCTACTCCTTTCTAATGCCGCTATCTGTATCAAGGAAACATAAAACAAATATTCGTTGTTTTTAATCTTAATGTAGCAGACGTCATGAATATAAAACAGAGTTGACAATTATAGATAAATCGTTTGAATCTTCTTATCAATTTTTTCTTGTTGTTGAATATAAATAATATCTAATAATCAATATATCTGTAAATATATATATATATATATATATATAATATGTATTAGGGGGACCGGAAAGTAATGTCGTTTTCTTCAATTGAATTCAAACGAATAAATTTTTAACAAGTTTTTGTTTTTAATCACAATCAAATATCGACATGCGCAGAAACGACATTACTTTCCGGTCCACCTAATATTTATGTAATAGATGAACAAATTCTATGGATTAAAAATGTATATATGAGATCTTATTTAATGCATGATATAAACATTTACATAACTACAATTTCCGAATTATTGAAACAAAAATGACTATAACTTTAAAACAATATCAAATAGGATGTTTATATATATATATGTTTAAACCTATTTTTTTTATTGCGTTTGTGTCTCCTATCATGTTATAATAATGTGTTATGATATATCCTATACAAAATAATATACCCAGTATATTATTTTATATTTTTACAATAATAGATCTGTAAATATTTTTTTGTTTTTATTGAAAAACAAATGTAATAATACATAATGCCATTTTTTAATATTATTTTTTATTATTTCTATACATAAATTTATTACTTTTAAAAGAAGATATGATTGTGGTGGCCAATTGGTTAAATCGTATCTTTTACATTACTTTATAAAAAAACTGATAATAAATTAATTTATTCTTGGTAAAAGATGGCACATATAATGATAGGTATCTTAAATATTAAGCTACAATGTCCAATCTATTAGCGTATAAAAATTTTTACCAAATAAGTAATACAACATAAAAAGGTTTTACGTGATACGATTTGACCAACTCTCTCGTGTATATATGTATTCGTTATTAAAATATATAATACCTTATAATCAGCAGCTTCTGTTAATTGAGCACTCAACTCTCGATTTCGCGATTTTTCTTCCGACAATTGTGATTGCAATCGTTCGACCTGCTTCGTTAACTTTTTCGCACTAAAAATCAAGAAAATGATAATATGTTTTTCTTTATCATTGTTTTAATTCACCGTATTCGATGCAACATCATTCACCGGAGATTCGCCTCATCCCTCTCGCTCTGCAACAACGACTTTATTCTCACGCTGTCCTCCTGAAGAGATAGTTTTCTACGCAGAAGATCCAAGTGAAGATCTCGTCTTTGAAGTTGCTCCCGCAGGGTTCTCACACGTCGTTGCAATTGATAAACTACAGACGTCTAAGTGACAAAATAAAAAATACGTATACGTTTGAAGGTACAAACATTTATGAAATAAGAATTTTCTCTAAGGGATGAATCTTAAAATAACGGATTGTGATAATTAATGTCTAAAGTACAATGGAATTGCAAACGATGAAAATTATCTTATGGAAAATTCGTAGAATTAAAATATATGATCTATATTTATGAATTTCATCATGATCAATTTATCGTGAACTTTATATCTTTTATATGAACTTTATATATTATTATAAGCGTACTTTTAAAAAACAAAGATTCCGTGCAGATAGTTATCTAAAATGAGAAAATATAAAAAAAGAAGCCGATCCGGAACTATACTTGAGAAACTAATGTACTATTTATATACGAAGCCTGCAAAAGTTGGATAGAGTTGGATCTCTACGAATTTCACGAGAAAGCCGAAGGATTCTGTCAGGATAGCATGGAACTATAAAAAAATAGAAGTAAAAAGGAGCTAAATTCGAAATGAGAAGCACGAGAAAGCGCTAAAGAGGAATATTCTTCTCGACTGGTTTGGAGTTTGGGCTTACGTCTTTTGGGGAGGGAAGCTCGTGAAAGGATCTCTCACGACGAATCCTTGGTAATGTTGTGTAGCTGGAGTACAAGTACTGGATTACGCGAACAGTAGAATTTGCATAGGATTTGAAATAGAAGAAGAAGACACAAGAAGAGATATTGTAAACGTCGTTAGAAAAAAAAATATAATAAATAAAAAATTTATCGATCGTGTCCTTCACCTTATCCACTAATTTATCCGTTTCTAATCTGGCGAGTTGTTCGGCCCTTACAAGCAAGGATTCAATTTGTAGTTCGATTCCGATGTCCTCCGAAATTTCCTCGATTTGCATGGCTTTTCCCAATCGTTCGAGAAACGTCGTGAACTAAGAAATTTGTGGAAAAAACATAATTCACTATGTTCTTTCTTACGTTTTCGTTTACGATAAAGGACATTTTGTAAGATCACCGTTTGTTTGTCTCTACGCAAAGACTCTTTGGTGAGCTCACAGCTGGTTAATTCAGCATCTAATTTGTGTATCTTCGCTTCGAGACTCGATCGTTCCTCTTCAAGGTGTCGCATTTTCATCATACTGGTCTCTAGCATTTCGCTTTGACGATTGGCAGATTCCGTGGCAGCGTTCACTTTCTCTCGTAGGTTTTGAAGTTTCTAAAAATTAGAAAATTTAATAATCAAAAAATTTAAATGAAAAAATACTTTTACCAGTCGAATTTATATCTAAAGCATATGAAAATCTTTTCTAAAGTATCAGAATAATGCATCACAGATAAAAGCAAAGTACCAATGCTTGATCTTTGCTCTCGGCAAGGATCTCCCTAATCCGATCCTTTATCGCATTTTCGTGAGATTCCACGAATCTACTTGGTGTACTCAATAGAATCGCTAAAGATTCCAATAAGTGTCTTAGTTCTGTTTGCAAACGTTGTTCTTTTTCCTCACGATTCTTCAAATCATCTATGAAGAAAAAAAAAAGAAACAAAAATCAATCGTATTTTGTAAACGAAACGAGCATTCATTAAAAACTTACCTCGTAATTGACAGATCATTGCTTCCTGATTGGATATATTTCCTGTAGCACTCGTTATATTTCTGTTCGCGTTCACCAATTTATCTCTAAGATCGTTCATCTCTCTTTCGGCTACCCTGTATTGCATTTCCAGACATTCTTTCTCCTGACAAACATGACATATTCTTTAACACTGGTATCAACATTTTTTCTCTTAATTTATCATTCTCTGTCTAAGATTCTTCATATTGAAGTTATTATAGTATTTTTTCAATCATCTTCAAAAATTGATTTATAAATAAATGTCATTATAAATAAAAAGTTTACACAATTAAATGACATTTATCTATGAATCAAAACAACAAATATTCGAAATGATATAACTATAAAAATTCTAATTATAAAATATTGTATTTATTAGTTGGATTAATAAATAAATAGATGTCATTTAATTATAACAAACTTGATTTTATTATAACGTAATTTATTTATAAATAGATTTAATAAATAAAATTGATAAATTAATAGGTATCATAATAAAAATTAACTTTGTTCTTTGCACATTTAATTTTTCTTGTAACTATACCTGTCGTAAGCGTTCCAAATCGACCAGTTGTGTAGACACTTGCCTCTGGAGTTGTTCTTTTTCTGTGGTAATGCGATCTAGCGAGTCCCTGCAACTTCGAAAATCATTCTCAATATCGCTAAGTTGTGTTTCGATTGTAGTGCCCCTGTTCCGTAACCGATTCACTTCTTGCACCAATTCTTCCGCCTTGTGGATAACGACTTCCGGACTGTGATGTGCCGTTTCACAGTACTCGACGTTCAATGCATGTGCCAGTCGCCGTACAAAATCCTTTTAATGTGAATGCGATTTAATTAAATATCGTTAATTTTCCAACAATATTTCGTGAAGCAAATAATTAATTTTTCAATAAACAATGATAGTTCCATTTAAATTTTATATGCAAAGGTTCAAATATTTTAATGAGAATGTTTTAGTACATTGATCGTTCAATAATTTGTAAAAATATAATTAAAATAATAAAACAAATTATCTTTAAAATAATTACCCACTTTTAAAAATAAAATAAGAAATACGTTTAGAATTTCTCATTACAATATTGTTGTTTACGAAACATATTTTAACAAAACTTTTCTATTCAATAAATATTAATTTATATAAGAAAAAATAAAATACCTGAAGATTTAATCTCGCTCGTTCTTTTAATTGTATCTCCTCGGAGAAGTTATGCTCAAGCTGTCGAATCTTTCTCTCGTATTCCCTGACCTTCTCTTCGTGATATTTGACATCTCGTTGTAGACCTTGTATCGTGATCTCGTTCCTTCCTTGACTCGCATAAAGATTTCTCTCTCGCTCTTCCAATTCCTGTAGATTAATAAAAATGTAGAAAATATTTATAAAGTATATATGTATAAAGTAAATAAAAGAAGAAGAAAGTAAAATGAATCTTAATTAAAAATCATTATTTTCAAACAAAATCAGATTTATATATATAAAAACGTAGATATATTAAAAAGAAAATAAATATCTCGCCTGTATGCGTTTCTTTAGACTGGAAACGATAGAATTCTGTCTGGCAGCTTGTTCCCTTAACTGATCGGCTTCTACCTGAAGTTCTACGACCCTTTGGTCCCTTGATCTGACGGTGTTTTTCATATCCTGCAGCTAAGAAGGAAAAGCCGTTAAATTAATAATCCGACCGATTTAGCCGTCGGAACCGTACGGAAATCGTTTTACCTCGAACATCAGCCTGTCTCGCTTATATTCGAGAGCTGCCAGCTCGCTCCTCAATGTAGTCGTCAAGTCGTGAGTCATCGCATCCCCTGTGTCCAACTGTAAACGAAGAAAGGGATTCTTATACCTACTTCCTTTTCCTTCTTTTTTTTTCTCTCACATTCCTGCTTCGCAGACTTTAAAAAATCGAAACGGACGAACGGAAATGAACGTGAGCTTTGTGAAAAAATAAAAATACAATATATCATTATATTCAAAATCAAAATTAAAACATATATATAAATATAATATTAATGTATTTAAAAATTGAATAAAAATGAATATATATTATAAAATATGGATTCATATAAAAATTAAATCAAAACGGATATATAAAGATAATATAGAATATAATATTTATGAAAATATAATACATATAACAAGACAAATCAATTAAATCGATTCCGAATTTTCTTTTTTCTTAAAAAATATTAATCCTAATTTGTCATTAACAAAGACTAATACTTTCTACAATGTTAAATTAGAGTTAAATAATCACAATTTTTCTATAGGATAGATAAAAGAGATAAAGAAAGAGAGAAAGAGAGAGAGAGAGAGAGAGAGAGAGAGAGAGAGAAGGAGGGATGGAAAGGAAGAAAAAGAAAGATATTGTATAAATTCATAAATCGTAATTCTCTCCTGCTGTAGAGGATTTTATTAAAATGATTTATTACTACATCTGCGAAGTTGATCGTTAAGAGTAAAAAATTAGTTTACTTGGCGGAAGAAAGCCGTATTCTCCTTTATCTCCTACTCCTTCATAAATGCCGAGTGAAAATCACTGTTTCTACTATGTGGATTATCTTATTCGCACACCATCAACCACCGTTGAAACATATTTTCTCATCTAATAGAATAACTGGAAAGAAAAGTAATTGCATTTCATCTTTCTTAGACACTAATGCTTACGCATTAACAATCACCTTTTTGAATTCGCGACTCATTCAAGAAGACTATTTTCGTAACGCGTTAATACAAATACAACGAAATATTATTATTTCATAAAAATATTAAAAGAGAAATATTCTCTTAAAAACCTTTTTCGTTTCATCGATTACGTTTAATTATATTGGTACCTTTTATTATATTGGGCGTCTTAAGCATATGAATATAAAAAAAAAAAGCAATGAAGTATTTATTTATATTAATGTATATATATGTATATTATTAATCAATTATTTGTAAATAAAAAGTATATATATATATATATATATATATAGAAAAAATTTGTCTTATCTTTTTTTGAATAAACTTATAATGGAATACTTCTTATCATCGAATTCACATTTTCTTAACAAACTTTAAATGGAACGAACGAGCAGTAGTCGTCGTTTTTATTCTCGAAAAGACTAAATAGTTGAACTTCAAGAGATTCGTGCCAATTTCTACGTAAGTTCGTAGTTCTTGTTCTATATGTATGTGAAGAAACGGAAGAACCTTAGCGAATCGGTAGATATATTCTTGTCTACTAAGGATAGCAAAGGTGACGTGACTGTCGTTCCATACTCCACACGAAAAGTCACTACGACCCGACTCTGAATACGCGCTGATATCAACGATAAGATGTATACGACGGAAGATATACTCTCTTGAACTCTATCGGTATGATGTGCAAGCGAAAAGGAAACCACGAAATTAACATCTTGCGTAAGGTAAAAAGAGAAAAATAAAAGAGTAGTTATTTTTATTTTTAATTAAAAGTTAATTACTTTTATTTTTTGCTTTTTTTTTTATATAGTATATTTATATAGAGTATATATATATATATATATATATATATATATATGGTTTGATTATATAAACTAAAAGTTAATATAAATTATGTCAAAATATTATTAAAAGATAAAGTAATTTTTTCATTAAGAATGACATTTATTTATTTTGTTTTTTCTTATATAATGTAATATATTTTATAGCGTTTAATTCAAGATTACCAAAAATAGAAATACTCTTTTTTTGAGAACAAAAGTGAAAGGAACTTACTCAAGTATTCTTACAAATTTGTTTAGAAATATTCCTATTAGCACGTATTGCACGTATATTTATACGGATTCGAAAACGATCATAGAAAGTACGAGGTGAATGGATTTATAACATCATTTACGATTACTATCAGAAGGGAGTTATTACATAATAGATAGTATATCGATTATCGATATAACATATCGACAATTTCAAAATTTAGAAGGAACATTTCCGAATGAAATTCGAACTATTATATCATCGATATACATATATACATACATATTTACAAATGTACACACATATATACATATGTACATGTACGTATTTCATACAAATCTATAAAAATTCAAAGGAAGATAAAATTTTCATTATATATTATCCATTTATAAAAAAAATGTTCATATCGTTACTCAAATAATTTTAATAAATTTACATTACAAAATTCGATACAAAAATTCGATTCGTTCGTTTTGAATACAGAACGAAACGATGAGGTAACGTGAATAAAATCGTTTATTATTCGTTATTGATACTAATATGGATTAAAGAATGAACGATGAAATAGGAATGGGAGATAATTTTAATGAAACCGGAGGTTCTCAAAAGAATAAATAAATTGAAGCTCCGTTCACGTGGAGGATCGAAAAGGCGCGTACACACGGACCTTCAGTGGAACTGCTAAAATCGATTCTGTGTAACGCTATGGCAACGCAACCCTTATTCGCATGCAACTCAATACATTTGCACTTCGCCGGGTACCTCGTGCACCTCACATTGAAGCGAGTAAGAGAAAGAGAAATAAAAAAAGAGAGAGAGAGATAAAGAGAGAGAGAGAGATAAAGAGAGAGAGAGAGAGAGAGAGAGAGAGAGAGAGAGAGAGCGAAAGGTAGGATTAAAGTGGGAATAAAAAGAGAGAGCACCGTTTCGATGTGTAAGGGTCGCAATAACGACATTTACACGTGACGAAATTATGAAATTACGATTCGACGCATCAATTAAATGAACCACTCGTAAATCCGACAACGATGAAATTCCAAAAGGTTTTGACGGGCTGACGCGCTTTTATGATAGACGACGAAGAGGAAAACAAACTTTTTGATCAAACCACGAAGAAATTTTCGATGGAGCTTAATAACAAAACTTAAAATTCGATAGACATAAACTACTTTCTCGATGATACGCTTGATTTTTATATTTTATTGACAGAGATTTTATATCTTCAAAATAATAAGAATTTTATATTGAAATTAAAAAAACAAAAACTTAAATAATCATTTTCTTTTGCAATATCTTAATATAAGAGAAATAAAGAGAGAGAGAGAGAGAGAGAGAGAGAGAGAGAGAGAGAGAGAAAGAGAGAGAGAGAAAGAAAGAGAGAAAGAAAGTAAGGTGCGCTTGAACAATATTCAAGTTGGTGCGATAGAGTGTGTGAATCGTGTTCTGAGATGGGTAGACCTTGCGAGGGGACGAGATGCAAAGAGTCTCGAATATCCTGAGATTCTCGTCGGTAGACTCGTCGGTCTCCTTTGGCTCCTTTTTTTCCTTCCTCTCCTTCTTCTCGTGCCTCTCGTACCTCCTCATCACCATCTTGTTCTCCTCCTTCTCCTCTTCTTCCTCTCCCTGCTCTTCATCACGATCGGCCATCCTTCTCGCGTCTATTCGCAACGACTATCGCTCACGGCGATCGTTTCGACCTCGGCCGACGACGAGCATTCTCCTCCGTCCTCCCCGACTTTCGACGACTTTTCTTCTTCTTCGTCTTTTGCTTCTTGCTATTCGCACTTTCGCCTTTCCAGAGAAAACGCCGCCGTCTATTGCCGTTGACGACTAGAAAACCTTCCGGCACCAATAATCGAACCTGCGAGAGCGAGAGTAACCCTACTTTGTTTATACTCTTATCCGCTGGTATAGACACGTGGGCCGATCGAAATCTATCGATTGTCCTCGAATTTGGAACTTTATACTTTCTTTTTTATTTCTTTGGAATATTATTTTCGTTTTTTTTTCTTGCATATATATATATATATTTTTTTTTTTCTTTTTAATAAAGTATAATATCCAAGTTACATGAAAAATAATATTCTCTTCGTTTTGTGTCTCATTATATTTTATCGTCTTTCGATTTCACTCAGAATTATAACAGATATTCGGTCGTTATATTTTTTAGTTGTAATAGTAGAAATCTTCATTGTCGATTGTGATGATAAACTATTAACTGCAATATCGATGGGTTATCACGCATATTACCAAGAAGTGAGTATTGATCCTCGGTAATGTAAACGACAAACGATCACGAAGACATAATTCACCTGCATGAATTCAATTGTCTAAAACATTGAACAAATAAACTCGTGGTTGTACGTGAATAGATTCGATTCACTTAAATTTATATTTACGGTAATCTCTATACTTTATATCTTATATATTATAAATTTAATATCACATTGTTATGTTATTTTATTGGGTTTTCGTATGTAAATGGTAAGATCCGGTGGCAATCGATATCAATTGCTTTATAAAATTTATCGTAAAATTTATTGTAAATAACACAACGTACTGGTGAGCTAATGGCAATATTTTATAAATTCTATTTGACTATATCTATATACTATTTTGAAATCAATTTTATAACTTTTTATTTGTAACATATATGATAATTCGGTTCAAAAAATTAACAAAACAAAAATTGATATTACCGATATTAGATAAAGAAAATTATATTTTGAGTCTTCTGATGATATTGAAAATCTTACGATATGTGATTCATGATATATTCTAACATTTATAAACGATATATATGTTAAGACTATTCACCACCTTTTGCTAATAGCGTATACGACTTCAGCGACAAATATAACATTGTCGCTACTATACGTCTATTGTAACAATGTAAATTATATTCTTTTCATACATAATATAACAATAGAGAGCGTGTGACAACAATTTTTATGTGATAAAAATAATAATACATCAGACAAATATACCAAATTATACTTCTCTGATTTCTATTATTTAAAAATCGTAGAAAAATCTAAACTTCAATAATAAAGAAAAAGAATTTGTTTTTTCATAATAAAGCCTGATACCTATTTAAATGTTTATAAATAATTATGTAATATCAATTTAATATAAAAGAATAACAAAATAAAGAAACTTTTTCAATGCTTGTTTACGTCAACAGAAATGAAATTTTCACTGACTTTTTCTATTATTGAAACAGTTTTATTTTGGATTTCGATAAATCTCAGCATTCTCTTTGCAAACGGATAAGCTTAAATTAATCATACTTTCGATTATTTTAGAATTATTTGAATAATTTGAAACGTACGTGAAGTATAACTAACTAATATTTAAACAATAGCACATGAAAAATTTTAAATAATCTTAATTTAAAATTTCAATACTTAAAAATTTTGATCTCGCAGTCGTTGGTTATGTAATGTAAAAAAATATGGATTGTTGACTGATTTTTACGGTTACTGGATCAGTATTTTTTTTGAATTCTGACGAATAAACATAAAAGCTCTTTCTAAGGATGTTTTTTCTGCAAGTATCAACGAAGTCATAAAGTAAATATATTTTTATGTCATACATTTCTTCAAGAATTATAGCAATATAGCAGTTTCTCATTATAAGTGATACTAATAATTTTGTTTTTATTTTTCTGTTTCAGGATATCATTGCAATCGCACGCGAAGCAATGATGTAATCGAGTATTTGTATCGCTAAAATAAAAATATCACGAAGTAGATGTAGTTTATTCGCTTGAATTTTTCAATTTAAACAAGTAGTGTTTTTATATCGACTACGTGCAATGCTATCATTAGAGTCAATGTTTGTTCGCAAATTGTTTTGTTCTTATAACAATCATATAGACTGTATTTATAAAAGACAATAGAATTTTGCAAAGTAAATTCAGTGACTATTTATTAATAAATTAGAGTCAGTACATCACTGAAAAATATCTCATCCAACTTCAATGTCGACCTATTTCATTTTCAACCACATACGAATCATCCACCATCAATAACGACCTAATAGCGGATGAATGTTTTGGGGCCATTGCAACACTTCTTAAGTACTAAGTGGAATTTTTAAATCCCTACAATCACTCAATTATTTCTAGGATGAAAGATCCGAATTGGCACGACTGTTTGATTGTAATTAATTAATAGAAGAGCATTGATTGAGCACGAGTAAATGTCTTCACAGATTTACGTCGCAGATTTATGTCTTTCGCATTTACTTCGAATGTTTTCTTATTTCTTGATTTATTTATTAGATCAGGATAGATTTCTCTTGTTTCATACGCGTTTATAATTATTTGTAAATTGAATATTTCAATGTACTTTTAAATATTTTTCTCTCGCAGAAATAGTAAAAAATCGATATCGAGTTCTAATAAAGAATGAACAAAAGGACATTCGTGATGGATAGTCCCTGGATTACAAGCGAAATTGAAATGATTTTTTTTTTTAATAATTAAAGTAATGTAAGAAAGAGCGTCCGAATATTTGTCATTACATTTTTTCAATCAAAACTAATTAAATATTTAATCAATTTTGTTGATAAAAAAAAAGTCCCGATAGAGTTATTATTTTTGAATGAAAGAAGTCGAGTAGAATCATTGATAAAAGAAAAAGAGAATCACACCTCGTAGGCTAAATAAGTTAATCAATTTTTAGTTCAAGATTTTCAAAAATTAATATACTAATCTCCGTTTTTTTTGTACTGTGAAAAGGTATCTCTCGAAAAGATAATAATCCATTTCTATTCAAAGAGATAAAGTTTTTGCTCTCTAGGTATATTAAAGTTAAAGTTTCCTTCGATATCTTGGAACCTGGAATCAAATTTCGATATTACACTTTTTGAATAATGATCACCTAGATAAGGGCACAAAGCAAAGAAGAGGCTATATGCCGAAGCGGCAGCCGCAAACTATAGTTCAAGAGGGCAACTACAAGCTATTGAGTTATTTTCGAAGATTCATCAAAACTTTTCAAGAATGGTTCTTAGTCATTTTTTAATTTTATCATATTGATATTCAAAATGCTTTTATGGCGATGAGTGTAGAGGTAGATTTAAAAAATTCGAACGACGTAATATTCTGTCTTCGTCTCAACTTTGCCCCGCATACGCGAGTAGAATTATTTAATATTTGCATTTTCATTATTAAAGTCGAGTCTCATACATTTTTTACTTTTCTTTGTTTTAAAGTTAAATTCATACTTTCATCTTACATAAGTAGTATATTTTTTATTTCTATAAAATTATGTTTAAAGTCATAGTCACGAAATATATAAGATATAGCAATTGTAGAGATAACTGAAACTGTATTGAATAATGGTGTACATAATGCACTTTCTAAAATCACAAGACGAATAAGAAATGGCAAATGTGGAGAACACTGGAACTGCACAGAATAAACATATTTAAATATGAGTATCGTATATATCATGCTCTTCACTTTCCACAGCGATGCTATTAAGATTTAAGAATTCTTCATTTTTGATAGAATTAATTCAATACAATTTCCGGAATATATTGAGTAATAAAATATGTCAAGTATTTTGGATAGACTAGGTATGATACTCGCATGGGTAAGCATGATTGGGACTAAGCTTAGGCCGGGAGTTATATAATGAAAATGCAGTCAGACGTACTTAATAAGGATGATTTTTGTATATTCAGCAAATATACAGTCATCTCTATTTATTGAAATGCACATAATAGTTTAAGCAATTATTCTAGATTAATTATTCTAATTTCTTTCGGATGGGTCCATGAGTGCAAACCATTTGGCGGGTTTGTTTCAGTTTCTCTTCTTCTCTTTCTTTCCTTCTCTTCCTCTCCTTCTTTTCTTTCCTTTTCCCTTCTCTTCTCTCCTTTTTCTTCTCTTCTCTTCTTTTCTTTTCTCTTCTTTTTGTTCTTTTTCCTCTTCTTTTCTTCGCAACGATGAGAATAACACGTCGGGATTAGTTCTATTGTGAACTAGTTTTATTATTCAAAATTTCGAATAGAAAATCGATCTTAAAAAATAGTGCATGAAGCTACGGATATTGCGAAAATCCTGTTATCCGTAAACAGTCGAGACTGACCATCTTCCAGATAGTATTGGGAATCGGAATTCTCGATAAGCTCATATCACCCCAAGAATGCGGGTTTTAAAGTAAAATTACCGTTATTTTAACATTCGCGGACGCAATTAAAAGTCCTACCGTAAAGTTAGTTTTATTGTTCGAAATTCAGAAAGCATGACCCATCGTACTTGTGTTTGAATCTACCGATGTTGCAACGGTTTAGATATCCTAAAACGAGGACTTACCCTCCTCTAGTTAGCATTGGGACCTGACAGTAAGTGACATGTCACTCCGGTATCACGTATTTTAGAGTAGAGTCATAACCCACGGGTCTCTAGATAGCAACTTCCACGTGGTTAGATCTGGCTCAATATTACTTGCGATATATTAAGTACTATCCAATGGCTGCATATTTTAGTGTATTTCCAAAATTTCTTCAATCAAATTCTGATTAATCATTAAAATACTATCATTATATATTGCTAATAATATTTACACAAATAAATAGATGGATATATTAGAATTTTGTGGATAAATATATATAAAGTATATAAATTTGTGACTAAAATCAAGATTTTGTAGAAAAGACAAAAAACAAGATTTTGTCGTTATTTGATGAAAAATAATAATTAGTGAACGTATATATTATATATTATTTTTATAAAAATCAAAACATTAATTCATTTCCACACTATCTATAAAGTAAAATTTCCAGAATTGTTTGTTTTCGAGGTTTCATTAATTTTCATATTAATTATATTTATTATCTTTTATACATTTATATCGTAAAATAAATGCATACCGATGCTATATCGTATCTATCATGGATTACTGTGACAGACACGCCATTATTAAAAAAAAATATAAATTTTTTTTTAAATAGAGAATGAAAAGTGTGAGTTCACAATCTACTAACACTTTCTATTTTAATTCACTAATACAAAATCGTTACATTACGTGTGAGTGAGATACAACTTACACAAGCTTGTAGACTAATACGATAAATGCATAATGATGGAAACAGTGTTTCTCGTTTGCGCTTGTAGTTCATATTTTGTCCATACCTATCGCTGAAGTCACACATACTTCGAACGAGAGGTTATGAATTATCTTAATGTATACTTTTTAATTTTTCTAAACAGGATAGGATTGTAAAGCAAAACGGTCTAAAATGCTTCTTCGATTTTGTAAATTATGTTATCAGGATTCAAGTGTGTCGATTACAAATTTACGGAAATATGGAGTAAGTTATTTTCAACTAGCATGGTTTTCGAATAGGTTATGTTTCTTTTGAATCTTTATATTTTCTTTATATATTCTTTATATTTCTTAAATATTTATTTATTTTTCTTGAATTTAGAAAAGAGTTAGTACCAAACGTTTTAAGAAATGTAAAGTCGAAAACAAAACGTTAACTCACGACCAAATAAATATGAAAAAGCCAATAATCGTGTGCAAACGCCCGATATTTAATTTCTACAAAGGTCAAACTTATTCACAACACGAAAAAATACCAATAGCTAGTAAAGGATGGCATCATTCAAAAGCTAAAGGGGATCATTTTCATGTATATTCAGTTTGTATCATTTGTTTAAGTATTTCTATATGACATGATATTCTTAAAAGACATGTTTAATAAAAGTTACTTTTTAGGAACATGAATTAAAATCCGGTCAAGCTATCGTAGAGTCTACTTTTGAGAATTATGATTTATGCCCTTTGTTGTATAAGAAATTGCAGGAATTAGGATTTATAAAGTTATTGGAAATTCAGGAATGTGCTATACCAAAAATTTTAGATGGTAAAAATACTGTATTAGCTGCTGAAACTGGATGTGGAAAAACGTTAGCGTATCTTGTTCCTCTAATAAATCAAATTTTAAATTGGAAACCATTGTTACAAAGACCTTTTAATTCTCCATTAGGATTAATTATAACACCAACCCGAGAATTAGCTGTTCAAATAGGGGTTTGTTGTTTTCATATATTTGTTTATATTATATAAGAGTTTATAGTTAATATTAATATATATTTATTTACTAGGTAGAGGCAAAAAAGTTATCAAAAGATCTTGATATTTCAACAAAAATTTTGACAGGTGGTAAAACAAAAAGAATGGTATCACGCTTACCATTAAATGATGTTGATCTTGTTGTAGCCAGTTTTGGAGTTATCAGTAAATTATCCACTTTTGGACTTTATAAATTAAATTGTGTCAAACATATTGTTCTAGACGAAGCAGATGCATTATTTCATGACACATTTGAAGGAAAACTTAAAGTATTTATGAATAGGTTAAAGGTGTGTATAAATTACATATTTTATATATGATTTAACAGAAGAAACAGTAATAATCTTTTTTTTACCATAATATAGATTGGTTATCAACAAGTAATAGATGAGAATGGAATGCCTAAGAATACTCAATTGACATTAGCTTCCGCTACAATGCCCCAAAGAATTTCTGAAGTTTTAGAAGACATAGTAAATGTAAGTTTTATTAATAATATATGAGAATGGAAATGGTTATATTTATAAAAAGTATAACTAGTTTGTAATGTAATGGATACATCCAATTTTAGGTCAATTCTCTGACTCAAATAGTTACAGAAAAATTACATCATGTTTTAGTACCACAGAAATTTATAAGATTGGGATCAAGTCAAAAACCGTACGAATTATTAAAATATGTAAAACCAAAAATTAAATCTAAAGAACCAATAATCATATTCAGTAATAATAATGCTACTTGTGACTGGATTAGTATGTTCTTACATGAATGTGGTATTGATAATGTACATTTGAATGGTAATATGCCTTTAACAGTTAGACAAGGAAAATACAAAGAATTCAAAATTGGAAGAATTAATATATTATCAGCTACAAATATTGGATCTAGAGGATTGGACACTTTCATGGTCCGACATATATTGAATTATGATTTTCCATTGGATACTGCTGATTATATTCATCGGTAAGGATTGTTTAGTTCATTTTTACGATTCCATAACGTATGAAAAATATTTTCTTGGTTTTCAGATGTGGTAGGGTTGGAAGGATAGGCAGCCATGAAGATTGCAAAGTAATCAATTTTATTAGTCATTATCTAGAAATTGAGGTAGTTCAAAAGATCGAAAGAGCTTTACGCAGAGGAAGACCAATACCTATCTTTAATATAATGAAAAATAATACGAAAGATGATCTTGAATCTCTAATTTCTTCCAATGATATCCAAAATGATATAATTGAAAACATAAATGAGGAAAATAGTATTCCTTATTAATAAGTTCGTGAATTATATTAATAAAATACGTGATATATATTTTCCAAAAGATCTTTTCAAATCTATAAATATATTGTTAAACCTAATCAATGTAAAATATGATCACCCGACTCGAAACTATAGGAAGATATATATGAGAGAATATTTATCTCTCTCGTCCAATATACATTCGTTTCCTAATTTAATTAGCTTGTATAAGGCCAATTTTAGATTAGATTACTCTTGTGTAAGAATTCAATGACGAAACCCTAACAGTGCCTGTCAATACGTTCATCTGATTAGATAGGTATCGTTATTTCTAATTTGATGTGATCTTTTAAAAGAGATTTTATTTTTTTGCCTTGATAGGAAATTAGTCTTCATATAACCATAAATGTTTAAAATTTAAATGGGATTTCTTATTTTCTTTTCGTTTTTTTTCTTCAAATCTTAAGATTTAGGATATATTCTTAAATCGTTTCTATTCATCCATACGTATTCCTAAATTTTAAAGTTTGAATAGAAGGGAGCAGAAAGGTTTATGTTTATCCATATGTACTGTATCCTATCGTGTCCACTGACACACCCACACTGGACACCCACGCGCGGTAAATAGTAATACTATAAGCTAGAACATACGTCTAGATCAGTTTATTACTCACTTTGCGTTTTAGTGAAATTAAACATGGTCAGCGCACGCTGCCGTTTTACTTTAGTTGGCTTCGTCCATGTGGGTGTGTCGTAGACAACTAAAATAGTGTTGCTAAACAATATCTTCGCGTGTTTCTTATCTCTTTTAAATTAACAACTAGTAGATACCTTTCCGAATTAAATTCAAAAGTTTTGTTTAACCTTTTTGATACTGCGCATACAATACATATTTATGAAATTAGATATTGCAAGCGTTATATAATCGTGTATAAGTATTAAAGGTACATCTAATAAATAATTTTTTTATTAATTTTGCAATAATTACAAATACAGTGCTTATGAAAATATTTTTCTCTATTTACGAAAGCTTTTTAAAGCAAATGAAAAGTTCAATTGAATAAAAGCACAGAAAAATTTGGTTTACAATAGATGTATTGTATATATAAAAAATGATAGTAAAGATTAGGAGTAATTTAATGTGAGCCTATAATGGTCAGCATGAATAATATAAAAATGTACCATTAGATAATTTGTTTATTTCATAAAATAAAGAACATTTAAACAAGAAATGTTCGTTTTATCAGTATCATATAAGATGATAATCGGGATACTGAAATAAGCATAATAAATTAGACAAATCATGATCTAAGTTCAATAGTCCATAAATTTATAATTTAAAATTCAGGTTGGAAAAACTGAAGAAAACAAAAAATTGATATATTACACACGTAAAAGAACTTAATACCAAAGAATACTGATTAATGTCAATTAATAAAAATCGCATAAAGGGAAACTATTTTATAAACAGTACACAACATTTATCTAAAAATTACCATTTATCTATTAGATAGGATTTATCTAAAAATGTACCATTTATTTATTTCATTTCATTCATCTAATTTAGAAGTAGATTCGGAATAAAAAGAACATTTGTATTATATAATTACCAATCTGTGTATATCCTGAATATGATTGTTTATACAAGAGCTTTTAAAAATATTGTAAAGCATCATTCAGTATTGGAAATAGAAAGATATATTGTTATAACAGTCACACATCAGAAAAAAATTATATATTATATATCCATAACTGAGTCACACATTGAAAAAAATCATATATTATATATCCATAACTGATTCATAAATCTTGCCTTATACATTGCGTTGCATAATTAAAAAACATATGCATGTGGAACGGTGAGGAAACATAGAAAGGGATTACCGAAAGTGTCGAAGAAATTAAAGAAAGAAAAAATAAGTTTCAAAAACACAAACATTTTATTAACATTGGAATGGAATGATAAGAAAGAAATATAGATGCTATCTGCATTACATAGTTTTGAAAAAAAAAACAACTAAAAACTGAAAAGGTCATTTATAAGCCCAAGTGCATTTAAAATTGTAGTACGATATGGCATTAACGGTTTAAAATAATTCAAAATATTATGAGATTTTTTAACATTCTATGAATATATTTCGATATATAATACACATGGCCCTTACATTGAAATAACAAGAAAGTTCAAGAAAGTAACAAGAAGTCTGGGCCTTCTGTTAAAATTAATCAATGCTGAAATACATCTTAAATATATACAGTGGCTTCCATATACTTACGTACACTTCATATTTTAACTTTAAAACGTTTATATTTTTCTTTGGAATACATGTAGCTGATTCGATTGTTTATTTCTAAAAAGTTCCGACCCTTAAGAATATACCAAAGACCGGGGTTTTATGAATTTCAAGAAATGAAGTTGTTTTTAAATATTGTATTTCGAATTATCGGTTTCGTAGCAGTTACTTGCATACACTGAGAGCTTACGTATTTAAATCAGGATGTTGGAAATTTAAATAGTATCTATCAATGTTTATTGAAATTTTGAATAGTTCATGTTTTATAAAATCACCGTGATGAGTAAATGTAAGAATATTACACCAGAACAATGACGATTAGTAGAACATCTTCGTAAAAGTGGAAAATCGTATCGGAAGATATCTAAAGAATTTGGACTATCAGTTATGGCATGTTACCAAGCTATAAAATATATTAAATATGAAACTTCAGATAACCTACCTCGCAAAGCAAGATTTCGAAAAACCGATGTGAAAATTCATTAATTATCTGAAGCTGATAGATTTAAGACTGCTGTCGATATTCATAAGCAAATATCCACCAACTTGAATACACAAATAAGTGTTCGGGGACTATTTAACAAAGATGAATTTCAATTAAATGGACGCATTGCGAGAAAAAAACTCATTCATATCAGAAAAAAATCGGCCAACTAGAATCGCTTTCGCGAAAGAACATCTTAATCGGATGCCCCAACAGTGGTCAAAAGTTGTATTCGCCTACGAATCTAATTTTAATAGGTTTGAATCTGATGGGAAAATGTATATTAGACGTCTTATAAGCAAAGAATACCGAAAAAATTGTCTATAACCAACTATAAAAGGTGATGATGATGAATCGGTACTGGTATGGGCTATGATTATGAACGGCACAGGCTCTATTCATCGAATCGAAGGAATAATGGACAAGTTTACATACCTAAATATAGTAAAAGATCAATTAATTCCGTTTACCGAAGAGTACATGTCAAAAGATTGGATTTATCAAGCGGATAATGATCCTAAACAAACTGCACGTATAATAAAGACATTTTTAAATAAACAAAATATTAATGTGATGAAGTGACCAGCACAATCTCCGAATGTAAATCTTATAGACATATTATGGATTGATGTGGATAAGCATGTGAAAAAACAGAAAAATATTAACGAATTATATGCCAGAATAGAAGAAGTTTAAGGTTTGATACCAATTACTCGATGCATTCGACTTATCGAATTTATTTCACGCAGGTGTATTGCTCTTCTTAAAAACAAAAGTTTAGCTACTAAATATTAATGGTAAGTAGGTTATTATTATCATAAATTAAAATTATTTGTGAAAATAGATATTTCTATATGTACGTAAGTACGTGTCCACAAGTAAATCTTCAACAAAAAATACATGAACCTTGTTAATTATTCTTACATGAATCTAGTAAATTAAAAAACCATATTTTTTTCTTACATAAAGTATTCTAGGAACTTGCACAAAACGAAACTGATTTTTTTTGAACTATTAAATGTGCAAATACACAGCAAAATAACTTTGATTTTGTTAACTATACGTAAGTATATGGCCGTCACTGTATATTATAAATAAGTAAAATATTCTGCGAATGCGTGACCAATATGTCAAAAGTATTTAGCACCAAAAAAATAGATTTTATGATTTTAATAAAGATATTATAATTTTCTTCAGTATTAGTAATAATGGAAAGAGTTACAAATTTTTTTTCAGTATTTTTATTGAAATGTATTTGAACTTTTTAATAGATATTTCCTTTACTTTTTCATATAATTTTTAATTAGTATTGTCCCCTCCGTTCATACTTAGAAGATGTTTCTTAATTTATATTTCCGATAAAGATATCGAAATTTATTTAAATATTTATTACAATAAAAGTTGTAATTTTTACAATATTTCGAATTGTAATTGAACTGTTTAACAGAGATCTTTCATTAGATCTCCATTATATCCTTTAGAATACCGTAGTATCTTTTAATCCATACGATCTCATTTTCTTTCTAAATTTCGGAATATTTTTTAATATACTAATATTTTTTTCTCAATTTTGAAATATTTTGAAATATTTTGAAATATTTTGTAATATACTAGTAAAATAACATTAGTTGATCACATGAATTTATTTCTTTTTTTTTTTAAATTCATTAATGTAATTTAGAAAAACATATGTACTCAAACGAATACAATGGGCATTTGTAAGTTCTTGAGTAATAAAAAAAAAATATTAGCAAGATAATTTTATTGTTACATTAATACTCATACTTAAATAAGTACAATGGAATCGTATGATTACTATTTCGTTCTTGAATTGTATTGGAACTTTTTAACATGAACGTTACGTTCGTTTCTTTAAAAATTATGAAATATAAATATGACGATTATGCATGTATGATTATGAGATGTTCTTTGTCGAGATAAGCTGGATCACGAAAAGCGTACTCGTGAACGTGCCAAGAACAGTACTTATTATATAAAGAGATACGATGAGTCGCCGTTACTGATGACAATGATAATGGACTAATTAGTGTGGTTAGTTGCGTGACATATAGGACAGAAGGTTTGAAATCGAGATACGCAAGTAATGCGGGACCTCGTGCTGCAGGAGAGCAAAGCAGATCATATCTCTTACCCGTCTCGGACTCATACCACACGCGTAGTTTTCTAGAGAACGAACTCTGCAAGCCCGCATCTTTCAATATCAAGAAAGACACGCATTAAAAACTTATTCTTGAAGTTCTGAGATAAAAGGATATCGGGAAGACGTAAAAAAATATGTAGGGACAGTGTAAAGTTCCGTTGTTCATAAATGTGTGTTAATTAAATTTTGTAAAAAAGAAATTCATTATAATAATTGCCTTTTTAATAGTTACTTAATAGTTAAAATAATATTTTGTTATTAAAAATTTCTATAGAAATAAATTGTGTATTAAATGTTTAAACATCATTACGTTTTATTTAATTAATGTTATAAGGGTATAGATATTAATAAAATCAAAACATAAAGGGTAAATTATACAATAATAATAATTAAAAATCACTATAGATTTCATATTATTTATAGAAAAATCCATTTAACAGTCATAATAAATAAAAGTTGTTACGTTATACGATTCACTTTGCATATACAATTAGTCAAAAAAGTCTTCGTACATTGTATTAAAATTAAGTAACGGTATTTCTCCAACCGGAAAATAAATAAATAAATAAATAAATAATTTTTACTCAAGTATATTCAGTTATATAACATTTATTATTAATGAAAAAGAAAAAACATTATATTTATTTATCAACAAGTAAAATGAAGAAAAAAAACATACATAACAAAAATAATATCAGAAAAGTCTCCGTACAAAACTGAATTTAATAATTTAATACCATAAATTCAGCAGAATTTTTACAAAGACTAAGACAATGTTCCAAAGTCAAATACAAATTAGTTTCTCGTCTGCTAGAAAAGATTATACATGATAACTTTCATGATAATTTTCCCAAAAATGGAAATAGCGATGGTAATTCGCAAGTTAATTGTAAAATTAAGAGAAGAAGATACAACATTAAGAAAAATTGATCAAATTGTAAAAAAATCGCACTCTTCTGTACAGTACGTTCTTGATAGATAAAAAAAACTGCATCATTGCAAAATCGATGACGAAAAGAAAGACTTCAAAAATTAGAAGCACATCATAAATGTGCTATTTCACGGACAATAAGATGTGAAATATGTACAAGTGCTCCAAAATGGGTAGATATGATTGAAACTGATTATAATATTAAAGTAGTGTCTGAAACTGTTCGAAATGTATTTAGGAAAGTTAATATGCAGAATTTGCAAATTCGCATATTAACAAAGATAAAAACTTCTGGAATAGTGTTATATTCAGTGATGAATGTAAATTTAACATTTTTACTTCAAAAGGATACACTAAAGTCTAGAGAAAAACAAATACATAATTGGAATGTAAAAATTTAAGTCCAACAATAAAACATGGAGGTGGTTGCGTGATAGTTTGGGGGTACATGAATGTAGCGGAAGTTGGAAATTTAACATTTATCGACGAAATTATAAATCAAAATGTCTACCTTAATATTTTGAAAGAAAATTTAAGTAGTAGTACAATGAAATAAAATCTAGAAGGACCGTTTATCTTTCAACAATATAACGATCAAAAGCATATTGCAAAAAAAATAAAGGAATGGATATTTTATAATGTTCCGAAGCAACTTTACATACCCTCTCAATCACTCGATATGAACCCCATGGAATTATCCATGGAGCCATATTAAAAGAAACTTAAAGAAATATTATATTAAAAACAAAGAATTAAAATCCAAAATTTTATTTGAATGGAATTATATCCTACATAGTGTAACTGAAAAATTAGTTGACACGATGTCAAAAAGATTACAAGAAGTAATTAAAGTGAAAAGTGAACCGAATAATTTAAAATATTACGATTAATAAAATTATATGCACGGAAACTTTTTTAACCTTATTTTTGTTATTTGTTTTTTTCTTTATTTTACTTGTTGATAAATAAATGTATTGTTTTTGTATTTTTCATTAATAATAAATATTATGTTTCTGAACATATTAGCGTAAAAATTATTTATATTTACATTTTGATTGGAAATAAACAACATTAAGAAAATTTTAGTACGGTGTACGGAAACTATTTTGACTAATTGTACTTAAATTGAAATAATGTATAGTCACAAATCAAATATATCAATAAATCAATAAATAATAAATTTAAATAATACATTACATATATATATATACAAATTATATATATATATATGTATATAATATATACTGCATAAAATATATATATATATATATATATATATATATATATATATATGTACACAAATTTATTCATACCTTACTACAAAAGAATATTTAATATTACATTAAAGAATTCATTTGTCTAAATCTACAAAACATAAACTATTTAAAAAAGAAATAAAAAGATAGATGTAGTATATGGCATCGATATCGATCCTTCAGATCTAAGTAGACTCGCGCGTCGGCACGCGTTCCTCAGTCCTGGTGGTAGGGATAGTGACTAGTCAAACAGAGTGGGAGAGTCTCCGCGAAAGAGTGAGCAATGGGGCGCCTCAGTCGTTCTCCGGAGCGTAACCTGTTAGCATTGTTTCTGTTTGCTTTTCTTTTTCCCAAACAGAATTCGTTCTCGTGTAAAATACATTTTTATATTAATTATATTTATTAACCAATACCGTGTATAACGCAATATCGCATTATAACAGTGTTTCATTTAATTCTTATTTCATCGTCTTTTTCTTGAAAGAAACGAGTCGGATCAGATCGGAAATCGGGATAACCGTTACCGAAAGTCCTCGATCTGCTACGAGTGAGTCGAGTGATCACGTCCGGGTTGACGAACCCTCTACCTCGTCGTCGTCCCACGGATACGCACATTGTGTTTCTATACGAACAACGAATGTACTCCTCGTGAAATTCTTTATTTTTTTTCTCTATCTCTCTCCCTCTTTTTTTCCGCAACGTGTCACTATTCTTTACGCGAAGAGAGTTCGTTAAGCGAAGAAGAGGTAAACAAAGCTAGATCTTGTTCTGTTTCCTTCTCTCTCTCTCTCTCTCTCTCTCTTTTCTCTCTCTTCCTCTCTCTCTCTCTCTCTCTCTCTCTCTTTTCTCTCTTTTCCTCTCTCTCTCTTTCTTTTTCTACCTGTGTTCGTCTCTCTCTCTCTCTCTCTCTCTCTCTCTCTCTCTCTCTCTCTCTCTCTCTCTCTCTCTCCTTCCCTATTTATCCTGTGTGTGTTATGTATGTGTGCTCGCGCGCGCACTCTCGTATCGAAAGAAGGCAGCACACCATCTTAAAGAAACGAAGAAAAAGATAAGCAAGGGTAGGGAGAAAAGAAGCGAAGGGATCGAGTTACGAGGAATCGATGCGTCGTCGATATCGTGACGTCGAACACTCCGAGTCGTCGAAGTCATGTTTTCCAAGTTTGTCCCTTTTTCTACGTCCTTTGGCAAACGAAGAAGAGAACATTAAGGATCAAGATAATTCTTAAGATACTTAAGATATATCGATGATAGGTGAACCTTTGTGAGTTATCATTTTAGTTCTAACATTTGCTGTTCCTATTACTCGTTGTTATTTCCTACCGTGTGACAAAGAAGAAGAAAAACAGGAAACCGAAAAGGAAGGTGATCCTCGTTTTTTTGTGCAAAGAAAACGGGAAGTCGCTATATTGGAGAGGAAGAGGGAAAGCGGCGTGCCGCTCTTCTGTGTGCCGCGGCAGAGGCGATCGTCACAGCCGGAAAACGTAAGTCATGTTATTTTTCACTTTTATTAGACCGTTGATATAAATTTCATCGTTTTCTCATTCTCTTAATATTATAAAATTCTTTTCATATTAGAAAAATGTACGTTCTCTGTATATATTTTATCTGCTACGTTTAATTGAACGTAATGTTTACGATCTTTCTTAATAAAATTATTATTATTATTATATAGGATCAGGATATATGTTTATAGTTCAAATCATTTATTATTACATTTTTCAAATATTTCATATGAGTAATTTTTTTGGAGTTACCGAACGCTCGAACAAGTGCATATATATATATATATATATATATATATATATATATATATATAAAAGAGCAAAAACGATGGTAGAAATACGGACAGGATACGAGTCTTATCTAAATTCGCCGGAAATAGAAGAACGTTCGACCATTGCAAACTTGGCTGTCAGAAGTTTATCTTTCTTCAATAATTTTCCAAACGTTCGAGAAAATGTGTATTCCTTTGCTACAAGTACTTAAGTCATACGAATGTCGAAATCTTTCAGCGTTCATAAATTTTCCTAAATATTTTTGTTCCTTTCCACAAAATACTGTTTTCTCAATCTAATATTAACGAAACTATCATGAAAATATCGCAACTTCGTTGAAGTGAATAACAACGTGCGCGATAACGTTTCGTAGATGCTTCTTATGAATGACTTTGCGTCATATTTTAACGATGGTTAACCTCCTTTTTGTGAAATGAAACGATGTACGGAATGTTAATCGGTAATACTGATTAATATTCATGGTAAACGACGAAGTAAATATTAAACAAAATATTGTTCGAATATGTTTGCGTTACAAAATGTTTATCGTAACGTTTTTAGAAAAACATTTAATTGTTAAAATAATAATAATAATAAAAAAAAATAATAATAATAATAATAAAACTTTATACGGTCATCTTGTATAATGATATATGTAGAAAAGTATACACACATTTTTTGGAAGAAAAATTATAAGAGAATTTCGTTGAAGAAGGGATGGGTGTATAAAATTTTAATTGGACGGTATCAGGATGTGCAAGAATCTTTGTCAGGTTCTCGTTGTTGACCGACACGTGGGATGTGTAGAGTGGTGGTCGAAGACCCTTCGTGCGTTGCATAATCACGCACGGACGATCGGATATGACGATTGCTGCACAGTGAACCTCGTTAAGATCTCGTTAAAATCTCCTCTATATATATCTGAACTTTTCTCTGAGCCTTTCGAAAAGGACTCTTAGAGAGAATAAAAGGATTCTTAGTTTGACCTTTTGCATCGTACGCGTTATAGAATATATTTTTCGCAGTTTACGAGATTTCCTTTTCACGCGAATTCGTTAAATTTATTGAATTCTTAACGAAAATCTGCATAAAATATTTTTACCGTTCTTACTGAATACTTCGTTGATATAAATTTTGTCGATTTTACGAGACGAATAAGTTAATAATTCGAGTTGATAATTTCAATTTATTTTTTATACAGTTCGACGATTAAAAGGGTTACTTTTAAGTTCTAAGTTATTAAACAAAATTAATTAATGAAAATTATATATTCATTCATAAAAATTATGTAATTATAAAAATTAATAATTCGAGTAGAAACTTTAATTGTGTGCACATAATGTCTATCTTTTTTTATTTTATTTTAGCGTTTTTTTTTTCTTTTTTTTTTTTAATATCGTTCAAAGTCAGACACTTCGCAAATAATCATCCTCGTTGATGGGTGTAACTTGAACAAGCACGGAATAAAGCGTGGGATCATTATTGCCGGTAATTTCTACATACGGTGTCATGTGCCATCGATAGGGACAATGACCGGATTATTTAAAGCGTCGCGTCTCTTTCACCGTTTTAACGATAATCAATAAACGATGTTTTTCAAAAATTGCGTAAAATAAGTATAAATTCATCTCAAGGTCATTTACTCAATTGTATCACGATATCGTTCTTGCGTGGGTTTCGTTCTTATTTCAAATTCTACATGAGTTTACGATAAAACAAAATCTGAACGTTCTTAAAACAGCGAACGAATTTAATAAGAATTTTATGAAATTCTTACATTACTGAGACTTCGTAAGAGTAATCTATCGAACGAGCAAAACTGGCAGGCTATTTCGTGAAAGTAAACGCACACGTAACCGATGAAGATCGTGTGGGCGAGTATCTACGTGTATATGTCGCGCATGTGTGTGTGCGCGCGCTCGTGAGTAAGAGAGAGAGAGAGAGAGAGAGAGAGAGAGAGAGAGAGAGAGAGAGAGAGAGAAAGAGATAACTGGTGAGAGAATAATCAAGTCGCAACTCTCGTGGGCGACTTAAAAAATTAAACAGAAACAATCGCGACTTCCGCGAACTCATCTTTCTGTCCCTTTTTTCTCTCTGCTTATTTAATTTCGTACTGGTTCATGTACAACTGTTCTTTTATATATTTATATATATATATATATATATATATATATATATATACATAAATATACATGTACATACAAGTAAATCTATATCTGTAGATTTTATGCTGTGTTCTATAATTTATTTTATCTATAAATTAGAATAGGTTATCTATTGTATACTAAATAATGATTTTGCCTTTCTCTCTCTTTCTCTCTCTCTCTCTCTCTCTCTTTTTTTCTTTGTATTAAGCAGATTAATACAAATAAATCAAATTTATATGCTTATTGATATTTCTGAATTATAAACTTTTTAACTCACGTTAATTGTTGGCGTCTTTTTTACTCTTTTTCTTTTTCTTTTTCTTTTTCTTTTTTTATTAAATAAGATAAGAAGCATAAATCAATTTAATAAACTTATCGATATTTGTGATTTCTGAATTTTCAAACACACATGGATCGTTGTAATCAAATCTAGCAAAATTCATTTTTAAACATTGATCGCTATTCATTTAATTGTAGATTCATCGATTATCATACATCTACCATTCAAATTACTCATAGGCAAATCTTTATTTGTCTTCCTATTAATCAATCGTTTATTCACCTTATTATCGATTCAAATTACGTCATTCGAAGTCTTGATAACCTGATAAAAATCATAAGTTTCTTCTTATCAATCGCATCGTTTTGCATATCTTTCTTTTCATAATAATATTATCTTATCGAACGGTAAAACAATTATCCTAACGTTACTTTTATTTTTTTCATAAGTTGATTTTCTTCTTTCATATTTATTTTCAATTTGAAATATAGATGACACAAAAAAGAAAAAAAAAGGAAAGAAAAGAAATAATAAAAAATACAATTCGAAATATTTCAGTGACGTTCTTGACCTAGAAATTACCATATAGAAGTTCTTGATTCTTCGATCGGTGTGAAATTATGACTTACACACACGTTTACATAAACACATATATATAATACATATGTGTATTATTCGCGACACAGCGGAAGGACGAAGCAGTCGTTTGCAACAGGAAGTTTCTGTTCCTGTATCCTATATGTTTTTAGATATGTGTGAGCAGGCACGTGTATTCTCTGTCTCTCAGTAAAATTCTACAAAAGAGACGACCACTCCTACTCGGACGATACACCGAGGAATTCGTAGCGGTCCGAAACGGAGCGGATCGTCCAATGGTCGTAACACGGACAGAGAAAAATAGAGAACTTACATATACTGATATACAATTGGTATGTGTAAGAATAGAAGTTATTCTTATGTGTAAGAATATAAGGTATTCTGGTCACGTATAGCCAATGGTAGTTCGTTATTACGCATACTTCCGTTCACTCGATCGTACCATCGAAATGATTTCTGCCTTAAATGTGCTTCTCGAATGCATCCTGTATAACTATTACGAATATTGTTTCTCCTAACTGATTTCTTTCTCTTCTCATATCTTTCGTGAAAAAGATATATATATATATACATAGTATATGTATATATAGTATTTTATAACGTTGTATTTTTATTAAAATTTATACATATGTATCTTATTTCAGCTCGTTTTAAATATAATAATCATTATCTGAGATATACATATCTTTTTCGATTATAAAAAGATATGTAAAACTTTAATATTCGTGCATATTAATATATAAGTTAATAATTTCTTTTTTTAGTTAGTTTAAGAATAAGATAAGATATCTTATATAAGATATTAAAACGTACGATTAGATATGTATGTCTGTATGTGTGTGTATGTATGACATTAATATTAGATTTAAATGTGAATTTGATAGATCAATTCAATACTTAATATATAATATAACTTACTAATATATAATATAATATACTTAATATAATCATTCTAAATCTTTTTATTTATAAAGATATAATAAATCATTTGTACGAAACACAGAAGTTCCGAAAATGAATAAATATTTCAAATTTGCAAACATGTAATGTTTTGAATGCAAAACCCATGAAGATTTTATTTTGAAAAAAAAATTTTTTAGTCGAGGAAATACGATAACATTTTCGGTAGTATGCAAACTTCTTTTTTTTTCTTTCTTTCTTTCTTTCTTCATTGTAGAAAATATTTCAAATAGGAAAAAATTTAAAGGAAGTTCCCCCCTCTTTCTCTTTCTGTCGACTATTCGAAACGGGCTTCTATTCTAAAATACCGATGCGCTCTTGCGCGCCTTCTTTGGAATCCGAGGACAGCTGCAAGCGCATACCTGAACGATCCGGTGGCAGGACTGTGTTGTGTTTGTTAGATGGTATATTAAGTCTATTCGTACTTAAGACCTCGTTTTTCATAGAATTTCGAGTAGCTACTCTCGATTTACTTATTTTTCGATTAACTATATTTATTATTTCTTCGTTCATTAACATGAACTTTCTGATAAAAAGCGAATCAATATATTTTATATAAAGTATAACGAAAAATTTTTTCCTTATTAATTTGGATTTTTTTATTTAAAAAATGATTTTAAGATAAAAAAAAGTTTTATTTAAAAATAATTTTACGCTATGATTGGATAAAATTTTTCTATAGATATAATATTTTTCAGATTAATTTAATACTTCACTTGCAA